TGCTGGGATTACAGGCATGAGCCACCATGCCCAGCCTCTTTTTAGTTTCTTAAAGGACTTCCATACTTTTCTGTATAATGGCTGTACTAATTTACCTTTCTACCAACAGGGTTGGTAGGATTCTCCTTTCTCTACCGTCTTGCCAGCATTTGTTTTGCCTGTCTTATGGATAAAAACCATTTTAATGGGGTGAGATGAAAATTCATTGTGATTTTTCATTTGTATTTCTCTGATGATGAGTGATACTGAACACTTTCATACACATGATGGCCATTTATATGTTTTGTTTGTGGAGAAATGTCTGTTCAAGTCTTTTGCTCATTTTTTAGTTAAATTCTTTGTTTTATTGAGTTATGTGAGCTTCTTATATTTCTAGTTATAAATCCCGTCTCAGATGCATAGTTTGCAAATATTGGCTCCCATTCTGTGGGTTGTCTCTTCACTTTGTTGGTTGCTTGTTTTGCAGTGCAGAAGCTGCTTAGTTTGATGTAATCCCCTATGGTCCGTTTTTTGCTTTGATTACTCGTCTTTTTGAGGTTTTAAACAAAATGCCTTTTCTCAGACAAATGTCCTGAAGCATTTTCCCAATATTTTCTTCTATGTGTTTCATAGGTTCAGGACTTAGACTCATGTATTTAATCCATTTGGATTTGACTTTGGTGAATGGTGAGAGGAATTGGTGCAGTTTCATTCCCTGCATGCAGATAACCTGTTTTCCCCACATCGTTTATTGAAAAGACTGTCCTTTCCTGATTGTAGGTTCTTGGTACCTTTGTCAAAATGCATTGGATTGGCTGGGCATGGTGGCTCACACCTGCAATCCCAGCACTGTCAGAGGCCAAGGTGGATGGATCACCTGAGACCAGGAGTTCGAGGCCCGCCTGGCCAACATAGTAAAACCCTGTCTCCACTAAAAGTACAAAAATTAGCTGAGCATGGTGGTCAGCGCCTGTAATACCACTACTTGAGAGTCTGTGGCAAGAAAATTGCTTGAATTCAGGAGACAGAGGTTGCTGTGAGCCGAGATTGCACCTCTGCACTCCAGCCTGGTTAACAGAGCAAGATTCCATCTCAAAAAAAAAAAAAAAAAGAAAAAATGCCATTGAATGTAGATGCATAGATTATATCTGTGTTCTTCATTTTGCTCCATTGTTCTACACACTTTTCTTCATGCCAACATCATGCTGTTTTGTTTACTATAGCTCTGTAACATATTTTTAAGTCAGGTAATGTGATATTCCTGTTGTCTCTATATATCCTGTCTCTTATACACATCTAGATGTGTATAAGAGACAGCCTAGAGAGACAGAGAAAGTGGAAGGAGGAGATAGACATGAAGAGAGACGGGGTGGAGGGTGAGAGACAGAGAGAGCGTTGGGTCATAGAGCAGAGGAGTGAGTTCTCAGCTCAGATGTGAGGGGAGCTGTGACAGGGAAGAACCTCCCTGAAGAAAGTGCCTCTTCTCCTTCCAGGTAAATATGAGAAACCTTCTCTCTCAGCCCAGCCGGGCCCCACGGTTCAAGCAGGAGAGAACGTGACCTTGTCCTGCAGCTCCTGGCGCTCCTTTGACATGTACCATCTATCCAGGGAGGGGGAGACGCATGAACTTAGGCTTCCTGCAGTGCCAAGCGTCAATGGAACATTCCAGGCCGACTTCCCTCTGGGCCCTGCCACCCACGGAGGAACCTACAGATGCTTCGGTTCTTTCCGTACCACACCCTACAAGTGGTCACACCCGAGTGACCCACTGCCCGTTTCTGTCACAGGTGAGGAAACCCCATGCCTGTCCCATGTCTTATGATCCCAGAGCCATAGCTGAGGAACTTCCTGCTGATGATGGAGAGAAGCATGGACAGGTTCAGAGAGAAGAGCAAGCCTCGGTGTGAGGGCGGGATCAGGATGCAGGATGGCAGAGAGGGCACCTCCAAACCCTCCTGCATGGCCTGCGTGGTGGTCCACGGTCAAGGCTCCAGGCACTCAGAGAAAGCTGTCAGGACAGACCCAGAGGAGGGGAGACTGGGCTCAGTTTGGGGAGATCAGAGGTTCCCTCAGCCCCTCAACCTTATCCATTTCCCAGAAGCCCATCCTGGCCTCTCACCCACACAGACATATCATCACCAGCAACCCTTACACCCTTTTCTTTCCATTTGAAAAAATATTTGTTGAGGTTAAATATACCCATAAAATTGTCCACCTTTACCGTTCTTAAGTGTAAAGTCTAGTGGTCATAAATACATTTATATTCTGTTTTCTTTTGTTTTTTGTTTTGTTTTGTTTTTACCCTCCACCGTTCCCTTCCCGGCCTCTGGTAGCCACCATTCTACTCTCTACCTTCTTGAGATCCACTTTAGAGCTCTTGCATAAGGGTGAGAATTGGGAATCTTTGTAATGAGCTCCAGTTCCATCCATGTGGCTGCAAATGTCAGGATGTTATTGTCTCTATGGATGAGTTGTCTCCACTGTGTGTATGTACTACATTCTCTCTATCCATTCACCCACTGATGGGCAGGTAGGTGGACTCCACATCTTGGCTACTGTGAACTGTGCTGGAACAGTCATGGGAGTGCAGATAGAACTTCCATACACTGAAGTCCTTTCCTTTGGATGTAAACCCAGTAGTGAATTTGTGAATACTATGAAAATTCTCTTTTTAGTCTTTTGTTTGGTTTTTGTTTGGTTTTGGTTTTTGAGGCAGAGCTTTCCTCTGTAGCCCAGGTTGGAGTGCAACTGACACAATCTAGGCTCATTGCAACCTCCTGGGAGGCAGTGGCCTCCTGGATTCAAATGATTCTTCTGCCTCAGCCTCCC